CCTTTGGAAACGGCTGCTGCCGAGGGAGAAATAGCTGTCGCCAAGGAAGAATCAGCTTTAGAGGAAGAAGAATCCGGAAGGGGAGCTGAAGGAACAGTTGCCCTAGGAGTAGGAGTAGGAGCTGGAGGTATGATAGGTGGAGGTTTGTTAGCAGGATCTAGAGTCAGAGATTCTGGATTCAGAGTATCCTCTGGTTTAGGCATAGCTAGGAGCATATGAGCAGGAGAGAAGGAATCCAAAAGAGATGATTTAGCACTGAGAAAGAAGAAAGCTATGATATAGGGTAACTGTTTCCATTTGCCTGTTTGCTGGCAGAAATTAGATAACTCCCGAGTAATGGCAGCAGATGTTAGTTATTTGGTGGTGCTCTTACCCTGCGAGGAAATGTCATGAAACATGACAGAATCCACTAACAAGAGTTTTATTAAGATAAGAGAGAGAGACAGACATGACAGGCCTGTGAGAAAGACACGTGAATAAGGAGGGAAGCCGGGAATATGGTGCCAGCTTATAAAGGCTGGGTTGCACATGCGTACACAGGTTCATGTGGCTACTCCACGCATGTGCATAGATCACTGGTTGCGCTGCGTGCTTTACACAACCATGCACAGCCATGGGGTCCTGGTCACATGAGACATTTTGACCCAGAACTGGCTATTTTGACCCGGAACTGGCTAGGCAGAAGTGTCTAGGTCCTTCAGGCATGCCCAACCATGGGGGCATGTTGTGAATCTATCAAAAACCCCTGCTGTGCTGATGCTCGGTGCTCTCAGCTCTCACTGCTGCATCTGAGAGATGGAGAGTCCAAGCTCAAGCTTGAAATAAAGACTCTTTACTTTTACATATGGGATTCGGTCTCCCTAGTGGTCTTTTAGGTGTCCCCATGATCTGGGCATAACACAGAGTACTTGCGCTCTATTCCCAGCATCCAGGAGGCTCACAACTGCCTGTACCTTGCAGCTCCAAGATATTCAAGCCCTCTCCTGACAGCTCTTCTGGCAGCAATGGGCTACTGCACTCACATACACAAGCACATACACGTGCACTAAATTAAAAATAAAATAAATCTTTAAAGCACATGCACAAAATCACAGCTGTTACCTGTCGGAACCAGCTGATGAGTTGATTATGGTAGATGAGTAGGGAATGAGGCTGAGGAACAACACAGAGACAAAAGATTAGATGGAGAAAGAAAATCAGTTCTGAGAGGACTTCTGGTCAACACCAAGCAAGCCCTGAGTTTACTTCTCAGCCACCTCATGTACAAACTGAAAGGCTAAAGTAGAATAAAGCACAGCACAGGTGGTCTAGCCTGCCCTTGAAAGAGGCAGTTTCGGGATCTCAAACATAGCCCACCCCTTAACATCAGCAGCCTGCCTAGAATTGAGCATTTGCTAAATAATCAGTTCTCCCACAAGCTAATCAGGACTTTCTCACAGCCCCTGTACTTTTACCAGGAGCCCTATTAGACCTTTTTCACAGATTCTGAAGAGAATAGAACAAGCAAGCTTTGAACTCTTTTGGGTCAGAATGAATTTCAGCTTCAAGCTGAGTCATTGTGGGAAACTGAGTCACTGTGGACCCCCACAGTTACCTCAGCAAGAACAAGAGTTTATTTGGAAGACAAATATGAGTGATCATGATTTTGGAACACTGACTTACTAATTACTCCCAATTCCATGTTTCAATATGGTAACAATTTTATGAAACTTTTGTAGTAAAAATCAAAGCAGTGGTATTGGTGAAATTATTAAGGCCACTCCACGTAGTTAAAAGGAGATTTATTTAATGGCGTAACTTACAAATTAAGGGATAGGTAGGTCACGGGGTCTGGGGAAGGTGTATCGCAGTCCCGTGGTGTTCTCTGGAGCTCTGCTTGGTCCACCTCTCCAGTCCAGGGTCCCGGAACCGAGCGCGAGCCCCCCGATCCAGCTCTCCAGTCTCCAGGCGCCTCCCTTGGCTCAGCCTTGTAGGCGTGACAGTTGCTGAAGTCTCAATGGGGGTTGGAACTTCCAGATCAAAGCTGGAATGGCTACCCACTACATCTCCCCCTTTTTGTCTAAATAAGAAAGTTCTAACCTAATACAAGACTATATACAAAGGAATGGTTATCAAATATTGTCCAGGAATAATGAGGGATAATGACCTAGATAAGATGGAACTACAACCAATGGAAACAATATCAAGCAAGAAACACATACTAAAATTCAGAGAACTATAGAGTATAGGTAAATGGCATGTTACAAAGATCATTCAGATGTAATAGTTTACAATATGTGTAAAAGATACGTAGGCTTGAAAGAGACAAAAGTGATATATAGAGTTATAGAAACAAATACATAGTTTTAAAAAATAAAGTCTTTAAAGAGACAGTAAAGGTAGTATAAAAAATAAGCCACGTAAAAATGGATATTACACAGAGAATCTGGATTGTGTTGTCTTTGGGATTTTTAACTGCAGAAAAACATTTGATCATAAAAGATGTTAAGTTAAACCAATATGTATATTTTAAAGATACCATGACTTCAAAATTTGGATATAAGGATATGTTGCTTTGGAAAGGAGACTCTGCTTTTGTTCCCACAGAAAGCCAGAGGCTATGGATTTGTTCCAGATTAAGATACATCAGGTTTGACCAGCCAAGACCCCCTGAAAGGTCTCTGATGACACCATGGCCCAGATGATCCAACATCCAGAATGGTTTGAAGGCAACTGGCTCAGATGATACAGCCTCATGGACTATTCCATAATCCTAAAATTTTCTTTGTGTCCCCATAAGATACAGCGCCCCCCTCCAGCAGGAAGTAGTAAGAGAAGCTACACCCAAATTCCCAAATTATATGTAATTTTACTTTGTTAAGGTTAAAACCTTCCTTTTTGAAAAAAAGAAAGGGGGAAGTGCTGTGGGATGTTCTGTATGGCAATGTGTTGCTCTGATTGGTTGGTAAATAAAACACTGATTGGCCATTGGCTAGGCAGGAAGTATAGGCGGGACAAGGAGGAGAATAAAGCTGGGAAGTGAAAGGCTGAGTCAGAGAGACACTGCCAGCCGCCATGATGAGAAACAGCATGTGAAGATGCTGGTAAGCCACGAGTCACGTGGCAAGGTATAGATTAATGGAGATGGATTAATTTAAGCTGTAAGAACAGTTAGCAAGGAGCCTGCCACGGCCATACAGTTTGTAACCAATATAAGTCTCTGTGTTTACTTGGTCGGGTCTGAGGGGCTGTGGGACTGGCGGGTGAGAGAGTTTGTCCTGACTGTGGGCCAGACAGGAAAACTTTAACAACACAGTGGGTGGAAGCACTTGAAATACATTGGTGGAAACATCAGGTAGGCAGTCCTCAAGCAAGGGGGAAAGACCTCAAGTATGGATCTCAGACATCATCTGATAAATTCTTAGCCTTCGGTTGCTAGAAGCTCATGCTGTGGTATATGAATATATTACCAAAGCGTCATTTGGTAGTCATAAGCTATCAGGTCAAACACAGAGACTGGCAATGACTGGATATTAGGGGAGGGAATGATACCCAAGGAGATTTGTAATTGGACTGTGGAACTGCACCATTCCAACCTTTCCACAATCCAAATTAAAGTTCTAATCAGACAATCAGTTTTCATAGAGGGCAAGGTGTAGCCTGGGAGTGGTGGCTAATGCCTTTAATCCCAGCACTTGGGAGGCAGAGGCAAGTCAATCATATGTACACACTGTTAGTATTTAGGCATCTTTATTGGCCTGCCCTTAGGGTCCTAACAGGACATATCCTTAGCTGCAGCCACTAAGAGCACACCCTGTGCGCATGCCCTATGTTTCCTTATAAAAGGCCAGCTCTGTACACCTGCTCTCTCTCTCTTTCTCTTCCTTCACTCTTATCCCAAAGGACTGGCATCTGCCCCCTTCTCTGCCCCTTCTCTCCCTCCCCTCAAAAAACCTCCTACATGGGTCCAGTTGTATGGTGTAACTCCTTCCTGCCTTTTTAAAATACAACACATGCACCACATTCATGTCATGCCTGGTGCCTGGGGAGGTCAGAATAGGGTGTTAGATCACCTGGACCAGATGCTACAGGTGGTTGTGGGCCACTGTGTGATTGTTGAAACCAAACCAGGGTCCTCTGAAGGCCAAAGAAGTGCCCTTAACTGCTGAGCCTTGTACTCAGCTCCAAGGATCCATATTTCAAGAGCATTATCTAGTCTGCAATAGATGCTAGGAACAGATCTCACAGCAGTGCAACTCTGGGCATAGATTCTATTATAATGCTGTGCCACCAGCCTGAGTATTTGTATTTTCATCAAGGTTTATGCTTTCACAGATTTGATACTATTTTTATATGGCTGGGCTTATAAATGTCTTCCACTTGAACTTAATAACACAAACCTTACATACATGAATATTATTCCTTGGATTTTGTTTCCATTTGAACTGCATGGAAAGATCTACAGTCCTAGTTTCTTGAATCACTGCATAAATACAGAATACAGTTGTATTGATTTTTTTCTTTCTCAAAAATACAGACTGTGTTTTCTTTTTTTTCTTTTGTTTTTGTGGGCAACTTGACACAAGCTATAGTCATCAGGGAAAGGGAACCTCAATTGGGAAAATGCCTCCATCAGGTTGTCCTGTGACAAATCTGTGGGGCCTTTTCTTGACCGATGATTGGTGTGGGAAGGTCCAGCCCATTGTGGATGGAGCCACTCCTGGGCAGGTGGTCTTGGGTTGCACAAAAGAAGCCAACTGCACATACCATAGAGAGGCCAATAACCAGAGTTCTCTGCTTCAGTTCCGGCCATAGTTCCAGCCTTGGCTTCCCTTGATGGTGGACTGTCACCTCTAAGCCAAACAAACCCTTTCCTCCCCAGGTTGCTTTTCGCCAGTTTATTTGGTTTTATTTTCCTACAGTAATAGAGAAGCTAACTAAGCCAGAATACAAATTGAGCTGCACCTTCTGTAAGATGCTGTTTAAGTGCACGTCACAGTGAAGACTGAGGTGTCACTTTCTGTTCCCGAGACTTCATGGTGCTTGGGTTGAAGAGACATCTGTCATTACAGGGATCAGTGTCCTTTGAGGATGTAGTGGTGGACTTCACCTGGCAGGAGTGGCAGGACCTGGATGCTGCTCAGAGGACCCTCTACAGGGATGTGATGCTGGAGAACTACAGCAGCCTGGTGTTCGTGGGTGAGTCTGACCCCTCTGTAAATCTAGTAGCAACTCCTTTCTGCTTGGTTGAGAACTAAGAGAATATGCCTAACTGTTGGTAGTAGCTCAATAGACACTTTAGGACAGAAACTTCCATGCATATTTATGTAGGACAGTGTGTCTTTGCAATACATTTACTGAGGTGCAATGATTATCTGATGGTAGTTGGTGAGGCTGTGAGCTCAGGTATTCTTTGTATGTGGATCATTTAAAACTTCTCTGACAGCTATTATGAAATACTCAGGTAATTTACCAACTATAAATTCACTGCTGTGCTGCTGAACATTACAGGGTTTTCATTCCTTCCAAAGGCACCCCAGTGGCTATATATATCTTTTTTCTGTGTCTTTGTCCTGTATCTTTTCCACACTCTAGCAACCAGTACTTTACAGCTTTGAGTTAAATTATAGCTTGTAAGCATGATGGGAACATGCCAGGTTTTGTTCCTGTGCCTGTCACATTTTACTTATGTCTTCTGACATTGCTGGGGAGACAGAATAAAAGTTCCATGCATTTTCGTCTCTCCTGATGAATGAATGAGTTTCCTGCAATAGAGAGCAAAGATGAATCTCAAGCAACTCTCACTGAAAACTGCACCTAAGGCAGTGTTTACATCTTTATGCCACAGGAGGATAAGCAGACACATTTCCTCATTGGAATCTGTTGAGTGATTGTGTGAGTCCTGTGAGGGAATGTTACCAGCCCCTTTACCTTCCTGGGAGCCCTAGATATCTGCTCTCTAGTTCTCTTTACCTCATTACCATGACTGCTGGCTAAGGCCTCCTACAGCTCAGCATCACAGCTGCAGCTCATCTCAAACTATTCCATCATTTAAAAAATCCCTCCAGCTGTATCCATGTCACTGTTCATGTGGTTGTGTATATATGCCACATTCTCTTTACCATTTCTTCTGTTGATTATCACCTACTTGATTATACATCCTGGGTTTTATGGACAGTCCTACAGCAATGATGGCAGTGCAAATTTCTCTGCAAAATGTTTCTGTAATCTAAATGTATATACTTATACACACACAAACTCAAGAGTGGAAGAGTATTGCTCTGTAGTATTTCTATATTTTGTTTTGTTTCTTTGAGATAGGTCTCGTGTATGCCATACTGAGTTTGGATTTCATATATAGCAGAGTTTGAATTTCTGATCTCAGAACCCAGTATGTGAGACCACTGCTGGCTTATTTGGTTCTTGGGATTGAAACCAGGGCTACTTGAAAACTAGGCAATGCCCCACCAATGAGCTAAATCTCTATTCCCTGGATCTATTTTTTAAAGAAACATAAACTACATTTCTTTTTTCTCTTTTGGGTAGGTATTGGGGGTGTTCAAGACAGGTTTTTTCTGTGTAGTCCTGGCTGTCTTGGAACTTGCTTTGTAGACCAGTCTGGCCTTGAGCTCACAGAGATCCACCTGCCTCTGCCTCCCATGGATTTCTTATTATCAATACTAATTTATATTTCTGCCATCAGTTTCATAAACTTCCAATTGATTTGTGTTTTGTTGGGAACTTGTGAACATTTGTTCACCGGGGACTCTGCAGCTCTGCATTATCATTGTCCAGGTCAACATTTTCAGTCATTCTAGTAACATGTGCAAGGTCACATTTAAGAACCTCAGGAAAATTTATGGCTGGTTTTTTAAGGCCACTTTCCATGTCTAGGATGTCCGAAGTAGCATTCAAGTTGTATAGTTGGTTGTTTTTTGTTTTGGTTTTGGCTTTTTACTGTTTTGTTAACCACCTACCCAGCTCCCAAATAATCACACAAGACTTATTCTTACTTATGAATGCCCAGCCTTAACTTCACTTATTTCTAGCAGATTTTCTTAACTTAAATTTTCCTATCTACCTTTTGCCTACCTTTCTCTATTCTATGTTTCTTTCTTTCCCTCTTACTCCTTGGCTGGTTGTGTGTCTGGGCAGTGGTCCCTGGCTTCCTCCTCTTCTCCTGTTCTCGCTCTTCTCTCAGCCTAAATTTCTCCTCCTATTTATTCTCCCTGCATGCCAGCCCTGCCTATCCTTTCTACTGCCTAGCTATTGGCTCTTCAGCTCTTTATTAGATCAATCAAGTGTTTTACACAGTCACAGTAATACAGCTTTACAGAGTTAAACAAATGCAACATAAAATAATGCAACACATCTTTGCATCATTAAACAAATATTCTACAGCATAGATGAATATAACATATCTTAAATAATATTGAACAACAAAGTTGTCTTTCCAAACAAGAAATTTCTTCTCTTTGTTTCTTCTTGTCATCTGCTTATTGAAATTTTAAAAATTATTTTGTGTAATTTATTGTGCCACTTGAGAGTAATATTCCAAAGAGTGAAGAACATGAATGTAAACTAACAAATTTGAATGCACCCACCATAGCCAAATCAACAATGGGATTGTCTTTCTTCAGTGGACTTGACAGCACTTTGCCATTATTTCTCTATGATTCCCCATTTCCAGGGCACTGCACAACCAAACCTGAGTTGATCTTCGAGTTGGAGCATGGATTTGGGCCTTGGAGTAAAGCAGAAGCCTCAGTCTGGAATTTTCCAGGTCTGTGAATGTATACTGGGCAAAGAAGACGAACCAGAAGAGAGGTCACTGGGTGTTGGTCATAGTGTGCTGTTTTCACGAGTGCTGAAGACAGTTGGTAATATGAACCAGATACACAGCATTTGTGGTCCTTGGAGAGTCTCCCTGTCAAGCCACTTTGCTGATTCTGTTTTTGTTTTTATTTTTGTTTGATGGTTTGGTTTGTTGGTTGGTTTTTCAGGACAGGATTTCATTGTGTAACAACCTTACCTGTCTTAGATCTCACTCTGTAGACCAGGGTGACCTTGAACTCCCAGAGATCTGCCTGCCCCTGCCTCCTGAGTGCTGAGGTTAAAGCCGTGCACCACCACTACCCAATGAAATATATAAACATATTTTTTAAACAATTTTTTACATTTTTATTTTGTGTGCACTGGTGTTTTACCTGTATGCATGTCTGTATGCACATGTACGATCCCTTGGAACTGCAATTACAGACAGTTATCAGCTGTCATGAGGGTGAGGGTGCTGAGAATTGAACCCAGGTCCTCTGGAAGAGCAACCAATGCTCTTAACTGCTGAGCCATCTCTCCAGCCCCTAACCACATTTTTTACTTGACAAAAATCCCATCCCTGTGTATATCTTAGGCAAATTTTGTTACTTTAAGCAATTCTCAGTTGTGCTTCCTCATTGTTTTTGTAATAGGTTTTCTTTTTACTGTTAACAAAGTAGATTTTTATTATGTGTTTGTTTACATATTCATTAGATACTTGGTTTTCACACACCTGTTAGCAGCTGTCAATGTAATCATGGTAACACCAAGGGTAATGGCACCAGTGCATCTTTATAGAGCTCTGACTCAGAAGAGTGAAGACAGTTAGAGTCTGTCATGATTTACCATATTAATGAGCTCAGATCAATGATGAAGTAAGTGCTTTCAAGGATGTTTACCAGGAAGAGATTAAAAAATACTTGTGGAGGACTGTAGGAGTTCAGCTTCCACTTTTCCCACCTATTTTAATGTTCTTAGGAGGAGGAGAAAGGGATACGAATTATTTGGTAGAAAGAGACCTAGCTGTCAAGAAGGAAGACAAAAACATAGGATAGCTTTGGGAGGGCATGGATCTATACCCAGTAGCCTCAAAGGTGTATTCAAAACACCATTTATAACATGCCAAGGGGAGAGGCAAAAGATCTCCCCCCTTGCAAAATCAAAGCACACTGTACAGCCAAATGTAGATCCTTCCAAAAACCTGATAAACATGCCCATGGCAAGTCATCTCCTTATGCAGCCCTGCTGGGTAAAACAAGCTTAGATTCTCTGACCCTGAGTAATTTGGGCCTCCACAAATTCTCCCTTCTTAATAATATAAATCTCAAATGAGGGTACAGAGCTTAACACTATGTAGCTCTGAATCTAAGCCACTCAGAGCTTGCAAATAGCTGAAATAATTAAAACAATACTCCTGCTCCTTATGGCTGCTAGGCCTCCTAGTAAAGGAATAGAGGATGATAAAGATGGAATGGCCTTTTTGAAATGGTAAAAGATGTCCATAGCAGTCTTAGCTATATCAAACCCTTTTTTAAATTAATAAACTCTTGATGTAACTGCATCAAATAAATCAATAAACTCCTGATGTAACTGCACCAAACCTAAAGATTCCTTAGCATCACCATACCATGTTTTTTAATATCAACAGGTTAACATAATTCTAGCATAAAGATTCCTATATATAATTACAATTCTCAGAAACTTATGTTCAAATCAAACTCTCAATAGGACTATTTACACTTTACAAAATTTAGCAAACTTCCAAAAGCAATTTCTTAATAGAACTATACAAAACATAGGGTACATTAGCACAAGTTAACATTAATCTACTCAAGTGTCAAGAAAATACATTTTTTTTTCAAACTTAAAGAAACTAAGGAATATTAACTCCCCATTTTCTCTATAATTTTTTAAATTACATCTTGAGCCTGGTTAGAAAAACCCAAACTTCTCCATTTCTGCACAAAACCAGTTCCATTTTTTACACAAACAGTTCCATTTCTACACAAAGTCAGTTCATGAATCATCATAGTTAATAAAACATGTATGAATACACAAAAAAGTTCATAAGTCATTACTGTTGATAGAATCTATATGCAGATGTAAAGTCAAAATTGTCCCATTGCCTTTGAATCACTCCTGTCCATCCTATTTCTTAAGTCTAAAAATTTTGAAAAGACAGTTCTGGTACCAGTCTTAAAGTTCCAAATATGAAGAAACTCACAACCAAAATGTTTTGCAGTTCCCCTGAATGCAGCAATTCTGTAGCTTTCAGCATCTCTGTAACTTTCACCCTCAGCTACAGCTGCACTTTGCAGTCCATAGCCTTGCCTTAAGCAATTCTTTTCTAAAGCTAAAGCTGCTAGCTCCACAATAGCTGGCTGGTGCAGAGTGCTCTTAAAAGAGACCTTCTTATAGTCAGCAAACAAACTGCACAGCTTTGGCTGCTGGCTGAAATAACAGCAAAGACTTTGTCCCAGTCTGCATATTTTTTTATTTAAAGTCCCAGTCCTGGGGCCAAGGACTCTCAACACCTCTCGCCCCAGGGCCTCAAGGTTTCCCCTGCTGCTATGAGCTACCACTCTCATTCAGCAACCTGGTCTGGGGAGGAAACCCAGCCATGTCTACTCACAGCTGGTGTACTTGGCTGTGTTATCTGCCCTGTGGGGGTCTTGCTCTGTGTGCTGCTTGCTTGCTGCTGCTAGGGACTCAGTCTCTGTTCATTTCATTGCAGGGAGGATTTCAGTACCTCCACTGCTCTCTTCATGCCAGGGCTCATCGTACTCCAGCATTTTGTCATAAATAAATACCATTTATTTAGCTGGGCATGTACTCAGTTAACGTTTACTCACCAAGTTTGTGTTGCATGTCTCTTTATTAATTTATTAAATTATTAAATCTATTTAATTAATTTTTGATCAAATTATTAAAATAATTAGTTAAATTAAAAGTAAAAATATTAAAATTTCCAGGCCATTGATGCCCAATAAGGTTAAGGCATTTGCTACCAAGGCTGACCACCAGAGTTCAATCCTCAGGTCCCCTGTGGTATAAGGAGAAAACTACTCCTTCACATGTATATCATAGTATAGGCATGCATACAACACACATTGGCAAACATACACACTACATACATTTTTTTATATTTTTTAAGTTTCCTACATGACATTTTTTGTTTTCGTTGAACATTTATGCATGGTATTCAATTATTTGTAGATATAAGCAGCCATGCAAGAAATTGCACTAAATTTAGAATGTGTCATTGGGCAATTTCAGCCTCCCCATCCCAAAAATAATTCCACCAGTGGTGGTGGTGCATGCCTTTAACCCCAGCACTCAAGAGGCAGAAGCAGGTGGATCTCTGAGTTCCAGGCCAGCCTGGTCTACAAATGAGTGCCAGGACACCCAGGGCTATACAGGGAAACCCTGTCTCAGAAAAACAAAATTCCTAGTGGTTTATTTTTAATTAAAGTATCTATCTAAAACACCACTGTTTTAGTATTTATATTGTAGTTGAAGATACTCTAATATTCATGTTCCTCCTCTGTTGAGACCTGCCAGTGCCTGATGTCCATGCAACTGAAGATTAAAAAGAATCAGGGTGATAAGTTTTTGCATCCCAATAAGCCTCTCTGCCAGTGCAGCAATCCAAATCAGACCAAATCTGACCAAATTAGAAAAAGCCCTGGTTTAATGGGTAAAGCATTCCCGGATGATGCTCTGGCCCCAGAGAGCGGAGACATGGATGAGAGACTGGAAAACCACGATCCATGTTTCCTGGGATGCAGCTTATATACCCTATGGGAGTAGTCTTGAGCCTCTCTGGGGGAAGAGCTGTATTTGGCAGGTTTTGAAGGGGTGGGTTTGGGAAAAGAGATAGGTGAGGGGAGTTGAGGCAGATCTTCAATCAGAACATTCCAGACTCTTTGAGTATATGGATGCCAGGGTGCCAGGGGTTGAGGTGGAGCTCCCACCCAAACACAGGGAACTCAAAGCAAAGCTCCTCAAGATTCCTTTTGCTGAAATTCTGTGATGCTTTTATTCTAGATAGCTCAGAGTTCAAAGCAGGGACAGAGAAGCAATGAAAAACACAGATAGTATTTCTCATCACTGTCACCAGATGTGCTCAGATCTCTTGGCCAAATGAGGGCTGTTTGCTTAATGCCCTTGAATGCTCTAAGCTGCATTGCTAATGGGGGTGAGGGAATCTTGCCTAAGGCAGGCAGACCCCTTCATCCCAGGGGAGCAAACAAGCAGGAAAGTCTTATTATATTCAGTCTGCATGTTACCCTTTCCCTGTGAACTCATTAAGAACAATATAAAGTTTATATTGATGAGTGAGATAATATGTGGAGTTCATGAAGCATTGAAAACACAGGTTAATTGAACCAAAGCTATAATAGCTGCTCGAGCTCCCTGAGGCCAGCTCCACCAAGAGAAGGTCATTATTTTATTGATCTCTCAAAAGTTGATCCAACTGTTGAGGGACCAAGTGAGAATCACCTGCAATATTGAAGAACAAATACCAGGAGACTGTGTCTTTTAGCAGTAAATACTTAATGGCAGCTCAGGTTTTGTAAAAGCTGTTCAAAGTTCCTTCATTTTTGCACTTAATTCTCCAAAGACAGTAGCCATGGCACTGGCAGTTTTGCTGAAGATACAAACTAGTTGGGAGATGTCACACTGAAGGCACTGTCAGTCCCGGTGCTGGAAGCAGAACAGAGGCTCTGCCTGCAGTTTGCCTCATCCTTAGTTACTGCAGTTTGTTATGGCATATTGATCACAAACTTCCAGCAGCTCTGGGTGTGTTATCTAGAAATGGCAAGAGTGCAGGAATCCTGCTTGTAGAACAATATCCCAAGACTGGCGAACAGTGCCTGAAAGTCTGGTCGATTAAATAAACAGGCCCATCCAGAAGGCAAAGCTTTATCTGACAGTAAATATATATTTCTTTCTACAGTATAGTTAGGGGTACATAGTTAGTAC